CCAACTCTCCAATCATTTGTAGAAAAAAAAATTGTGTTTTAAAAATGAAATAGGACAAAAATAAGTGTTTGGTGCCACATTCTGCTTCCTCCTAGATGTGTCTACATTTAAACTCTACAAAAACAGTCTTCTTTCACATGTTTTATGCTAATGACATGGAGAAGAGGAAAGGAATAGTTCTAGATAAAGAAGACTGTTATTCAGACTCACAGAGGGAAATAAGAATCAAATAGCATCTAAGATAGTATAAAATGTCAAACCATAATTTGTCTGGTTCCTCATTCATATCATGTTCAAAATGGGTCTCTCCACTGGGCTCTTTTCTATACAAATGTGGTCCATTTCCTATACAGATATTTTCTTTGCTATTGCTCCCCATATGCACAGATTCATCTTCACACCTTCTCATACGCATTTTGCCTCTTTTGGCATGTGTTCTGTTTGCCTGCCATATGTAACCATCCTTGCAACATTTCCAGACCCAATTTAAAGTTTGAAAAATATCCTTCCCCTCTCTTCGCATTTCTATGCCTTTGGAACTTGGCATAAAAGTCTGATCTCCTTTTCCTTTTTTTTAGCTAGTTAATTTCAAACATGTATTTCCTAGTACTTTTATCATTTTTGGTCCAACTCTGAGTTCAGAGAATACAAAAATGTAGCAATGTATCAGAGAAAGCTCTTTGCAGTACAGTGAGGGCAATCCTAGTAGAGAGGTGGTGTCTTTGTGGGACAACTGGATTAGATTAGAAAGTGCTCATCCAAGATTTTCAGCTGATTTTCAGATTTTTATATGTGAATCTCCAGTGGCTTAAGAAAAGTACAGCAATAAGTGATCATTTACTACCATAGAAATGAAGGTGTGTCACACGTGAGATCAGATTTAACTCATAATTCATAGAATGGCCCTTGGAGAATTGCCTCCAAACTAAAATTTTGTTTCTTTATTCATCTGATGGCTCTCTATGGACACAAGCAAACTATCCCATCACAATTTATAACACCCGCCATGTCACAGACAAGGACAAATATTTATGTCATTACTCCACGTTGAGTCTTCTTTCACCCCTTCTACACCATCTCCATTTTCTAAGATTTAGGTCAAGTATGGTTTCCTTCACAAATCCTTCATGATTACACATACATTGATCTCAGGTTTTCTAATTTCTTGAAACAGTCATTGTTTTTCTCATTTTGGCTCTTAATTATAGACTCTTACACATCCTGGAATACTCTTCCTTCTCTCCTTTGCCTGACAAACACTTGTTATTAAGGACTCATGCTAAGTGTCACCTCCTCCATGAAGTCACCCCTGACCACTCCTACCCTCTGGCACCCAAGGAAGTAAGTATCCCCTTGACACTGCTCCCATATCATCAACTAACTGAGAATAGAGCATGCGTCCCTCTACTTGATAATATATCAATCTTCTCACCTCCCCATTGCAAGAGTGAACTCTTTCTAGTAGGCATTTTATCATGTTCGACCCTGCCACACTGACACTTAGCCCTAGATCTAGACAATTAACAAAATTCAATATATATATTTGATGAATTAATAAATAAGTGAACACAAAATAAATTAATGAACATATAAAAAATGAATTACTGCATTGTTATGCGCATCAAATAATAACCAATGCATATAAATTAATTCATTATGTGTATCAATTCATCAACTAATAATGTGCATGAGTTAATCATTATTTTTATCAACCTGGAACCATCAAATCAATTAATAATATGTAACAATTAATGATTATGTGCATATATTTTCCCTGCTGAAAGGAGGGGAGAAAATAAGTGCATAAGATACATATACGGACTCTCCTATTTAACTGAGGGAGGAGATTTTGTTCTATTCACTGGAGTAGGCTGAAACTTGTGTCCTCTGAAAATTTGTATGTTGTAACCTAATCTCCAATATGATGGTATTTGGAGGTGGGGCCTTTGGGAAGTGATTAAGTCATGAGGGCAAAGCCTTCATGAATGGGATTAGTGCCCTATGAAAAAGACCCTGTTAGAGGGCACAGCAAGAATCAACTCATTGAACCAGCACGTGGGACTGCACCAGACGCCAAACCTGCCAGCACCTTGCTCTTGGCCTTCCTAGTCTCCACAGCTGTGAGAAATGAATTTCTGTTGTTTTATAAGCCACCCAGCCTGAAATGACTAAGGCATTCAAATTTTGCATATTTTGAACAAAATAGTTTTCATTAGGAATATAATTTTTTACTCAGTTTTAAGGAAGTTAGAAAAATAGAAAAGAAAATGAGGAAGAAATTACTAAGAGGAAAAATACCAATGAACCCAGTGTTTTAACCACAGTGCCTGATATATTTCCTTTACATGTTTTCGTGCACTTATTATCATGTTTTACCATTGGTATGCTGTCATTAGAATGACATTATTACACTATTATTATGTAGCTAATGTCATTAGCTACATAATATGCAATATAATAAGCTGTCACAGTTTAACTTATTGAAATCCACCAGCCAGTGACCATGAGAAAACATGTGAGTGAAGCAAAGGTTATTTACCTTGAGGCAGCAAGGGAGAGTGCTTTTCAGAGGAACTGCTGAGGTTTCAAGGAGAATTTTGGAAGAGTTCTGTTAAAGGATCTGGGCTTGTGCCGAATGATTCTAAACAGGGCTTAAAGAAGACAAAGCCATTTCTGAATTAAATGCTATCGGAAATCAGGGAGCAATTCAGGGATTAACTAACTTGGCAATTTTTCTCTAGGAGGTGAGACAATCAAAGCAGTGCTGGTTGTCATATGTAGTAGTCACTTGGGTTAGTACAAAGAGGGGGCTGTTTAGTTGTTTTTGTGGTTGCTGGGTGTCCTTGTATCTGTCTTGTTTCAGACTTGGTCATGGTCACACCTCCCTGATGATGTCTTGTATGTTGACCCTCACTGTATAGCTCTAACTGCCAACTGCCAGGGCTGATGTTCACTCTCTGAAATGATTTATTTATTATTAGACATTTAGTTTTCCACTTTTTCAATTCTCTGATGTGATATGTTGAGCAATATTATAAATATAGCAGTAAAAATAATAAGATCCCAGAGATGGCTATTAGTATCAAGTTGCGGTCAATTTCTCTTTGTCTTTCTATTGCTGTTATTTTCCTGCCAAGTTGCCATGAACCACTTTGAACTATCAACAAGAATGTATGATACTGTATCTCCATCATTATTGTGTGTTGCATATTTTAAAAATGGTTTATTTAATAGGCAAAAATGGAATACAATTTTTGACTTTTTTGAGTTTCTATGACTATTGCTGAGGTCGATTTGTTTTTACATGTGTCTTTATGGGTAACTGAAATTATTCTGGAGAATGGTGAGAACTGCCTCTCTAAGATATTGCTATTGTAGATATTATTATCTACTCAATTTCTTAACATTCATTTTCCTATACAGAGTAGCATCTTTGGACAGCTTTGCATATATTTGTTGAGACTAAACTGAATATTTGATATTCTTAGAAATAGTGTTTTAGTAGACAAAATAAATAACTTCTTCAGGGCAAAAATTTCAACTATTGAAAGAAATCATAATAATTATATTGTGAATAAGTGAATGAATGAATGGATAAATTAAAAAAATTATAATCATACAAGATGATAAGGGGTCATTTTTGAGCTACATGCTTCTTTACATAATTGGCGCACTTAAATTTACAAAATGAGATGACTTTGTTTGTTTTAAGTTGCTAAATTTGTGGTCATTTCTTATGTAGCAATAAGAACCATATTAGTTTTCTATTTCCCAAGTGTTTTTGATTGGAACTCCATTTGAAAAACAAAAACACCTTTCCAGAAGAAGGACTCGTGTCCATGATGTATGTATTTGAAATTTTGTTTTATGTAATCTTGGTTTAAATTAGCATGATAAAATTCTAGACACCAAGTGTATTGTTATAAATACCTATTTGATGATGTAATCCTTAGGTAAATGAGAATTTCTAAATGTTAACATTTCAGCTCTACATCTTTCCCAAAATTGACTTACAAAATTAACTAAAATACAGTTTGGTTATATTTGTATATAATTTAGGTATAAACATAACCAAATATCAACAGAACTCCTAACTTTATATTCCTCTTTACCAGTTATTTTGTATTGAATTTTATATTTGATTGTAGCTTTTGGATAGCAATGGAAATGTACTTAATACTAAAATACATATTTTAAATTATTGTTTGTTTTATTTTAAATATTTTAACAATTATTTAAAATATTGAAACATAGTAAATATTATTTTAGACACTCAAGCCTAATGTCAAATATACACGCCAACATACATGTATATTTTATACACATATATAAAACTGTATACTTTAAACATATGTATGTATATATATTATTATGTTTATATACAGTTAAAATCTATGATACCGTCAGAAATGTAAACAATTGTTTCTCCTCTGATTCTGAAGGCTAATCCCCACCAGAATCCCTGGCTCTGAATATGACATGCTTTATTCACTTATGACAGTCTTGTAACATCAATCATGTCTTGCAATGAGCAACTGCATCCATTATGTTGCCCAGTAGTTTCCCCATAATTATTTTTCAAGTCATTTCCAGAGTACTTCATAAAACATTCTTAATGCCACTATATAGGAACAGATAATAAATTAATTCCATTTTCAAGGGCTTTAAAAATGTAGCTTTATTTTAGTTTGCAGCAAATTTTGTACTACGATTTTTACCAGAGGCATAATATAGTGTTTTTTTTTTTTTAAGGTAAGTGTTTCACTGTTGTAACATAGGAAAAAAATTGCACTATAACAGTGAAATGTTTTGTTTTTGTTCTTTGCATGGGGAGGGGAAAAAAGCAACCTTACCGTTCCTTCTCCCATATGCTTCAACTTTCATGTCTGTTTTGCCATCTATTCCATTAACATTATGATTAATGAAAGCTCTCCAGAATTTCAAATAACTTGAAAAGTAGTCAATGCCTGCTCTTTGGAGGCTACATTGAAAATAAATAACAATAAAAACAGGGTGATCCAGACTTTTGAAGTCTTTAAAGACACCATCACTGTGATCTTTGTACCACTGCTGCGGAAAAGAGGTCAACATTTCACATTTCTGGCACTACTAACGACAACACAGCAACTAAAAGAAAGCATGAATTTCTGGAAGCAGCATTAGGATACAGGACTCCTGCTGAGCTCACCAGTTCCTTGCTCTGCACAGCTGCCTTCTCAGCTGGGGGTTTTAAATCAGCACTGTGAGAAAAGACAGAAATGACCATAGTGCATTTGCCTCACTATGAGAAAAAGGTAATGTTCAATTAACGCTTCAGCCTTCTGTTTTCCAACTGACTTATTTCTGTCTTTTGTTTGCATGTTTTGCTTTGGGTCTTTTGTTGTTCCTTTTCATTTCATGGAATAAAATGCTTAAACTAAAAATATCTTTGTTCTTGCGGTTATGCAAAGGTACTTAAATTCTCATGGCTTTGCTGAGATGAATGAGTTGGAGGAATCATAGTGCTTTTAAAAAATATGTTTATTCATACCCATAGGATATTAACATCCTGTTCACCTAGCTAAGCTTGCATGCAACTGTGAAAACATCACAAGGGAAAGAGTAGAGCCTGCTTTAAAAGTATTTCAATAAATGCAACATCTGACTTGCTGAGAATGCATGTATTTACCTTATCTGCTGCTCTGTTGTAGAATTGTATATACCCTGCTGTTAATGGTGAGCTCTGCTTTGAGGCTGGTTTGAATACTGATAAAAAAGAGTTAATTTCAACAAAGCAATGTTTCTAATCTTCCAGGCATAAAGAAATGCATTATCTTCCTTTATACTTGTTACACATTGTATTTGGAATTGCATAGGTACAAATTAATAAACATGATTTTATAGAATACTGTTCTTCATAGGGTTACATGGTTTTGTGTCCTTAGAGATGAGCTCATTAGGGTTCTTAGTTGTACCCTTTTTTTTCTCTTTTTGAACAATTTATTTTATAAGCCCAGAATGACAGTAGAAAAAAGAGCTATGTGATTGATCTGTGTATGTGTACATGCATGTGTGAGTATATGCTTAACTCTGACTTTGTGGGTCTTATGAATTTCCTCTCAGATTTTCATTAGCCTTCTGGTTGGAAAGAGGGATGCTTTCAAGCTTGAATAATATTCTTAAGAAGGAAGTTCAGGGGTTGGATGTTCATTGGAAACATGTCAGTATAGTTTTATTTTATGGTTTGAACCAAAATATTGATTACCACCATTTTAGTAATTGTTCAATATAAAATCTGGTCAGCAATTCATTTTACAAATATTTACTATGTACCAGGCGCTGGGCTTGGCAACAGAGACAAAAAAACAAGCATGTGGTTCTTGCTCTTAAGACTTCTATAGTCTAAACCTTTTGATCAAGGAGCTATTTTCTGAAGAAGACTTTGATGTTTAACTTTCTTGCGGTACAGCTCATGTTAGAGGAAAGTTTTGGAGAATTTATTGAATATCACATCAAAGTAAAATATTTGCCTAGTCGACAGTTAGTCTACAAAAGATTAATTTTTAATTTTCACCTACTTGGGCAACAACTATTTATTGAATGACTCTATTGTATCAGGCACTGTTGTAAACACTTGGGACACAGCAGCAAACAAGACAGAGTCTCTCCCGTGGGGCTCAATTACATTCTAGCAGGGGACCGAGGACAAAGAGGTAGCATGAAATTTCAACTTGTTTTTAGAAAGACAAAAGGGCAAGGTGACTGAGAAATTGAACCTGCTGACTTGATACTATAGCAATTCATCCGGCCCTCTTGGTTTTCCTATTGGACAGTGCTAACCCAAAGGAAAAGAAAGAGCTCTACAAATATCCATAAGCCCTTTCAAAATACTTGGAAGTGACTTTAAAGACAAACAATAAATAGTTTGTAATAATATTGTTCTTTCAAATTCAGTGTTATGAAGACTGTGCAAAAATTATTTTATATGATTCACACAGTGTAGTGATTTTAATTTTGGGACACTCATAAGTAATTAAGGTTATTAACAATAGTTTCCCTGGAACTTTCCCTTGACCTACCAACTGACAAAACACACAGTTTATTAATGTCCACGGACATTGCTATACCTTCTCTGCTGGGCTGCCTTGGTTACTAGTGAAACCTGTCCACTGAGCATGCTCCTGAGATTCCACCACAGAAGGCATTTGGAAAATATTTATATCTAGTTTCCTATCATCTCTTTTTCTCATTCTGAATATCTCATTTTTCTATTTTAAGACTGCAGTGGAATATATTTTCTCTATTTTCTTTCTTGACCTCTTTCTTGATTTGTTTCTTTCCTGATTTCTTTCTATCTCCTTTCTATTTATATGTATGTATGTGTGTGTATGTATCATCTATCGTCTGTCTATCTAGCTAAAAATAAGCATCTAACATTTTAGCTCACCTTCAGGTATTTCAAATTCATTTTTCCACTGTCACCTCTGTTATAACAGGAGAAAAACTAAGTTCTCAAATTTTGGGGTTTTCTTGCAGTGAAAGTGATCATATTCTTTGGTTCTGGACACTGAGACATGAGCATAAACTTGCTAAGAGCTCTGTTTACCTAATATAAGGGAAAGAGATGTCTGGCCTGGCTCCTTTTCTCTTCTTTCTTGAAGACAGACCGGGATGCTGAAAGCTTCTGCATCCATTCTGTGACCATGAGGAGACAAATATGAGGAAATTCTAAAAGAGTTTCAGAAATGCCAGCTGTAACATGCTAAAACCACTGAATCAATGCCAGCTGCCTGTCTCAAGACTCCTTGTTAATGTCAGAAAAATGAACCAATATTTATCAAGTCACTATAAATGGTGTTTTCTGTTACCTTTAGTTGGAAGCATTCCTAATGGATGCTGCATGCATAAATAATTTATAGAGGTTGTTGAAAGTGAGCATTATCTTATAAAATAAAACAGTTAACAGTAAGGGCAAAGTACAATTCTTATCTTCAGGAACTTTACGGTGAACATTTTATATGATAAACAAATAAGCATCAAGAGACTTTCTGATATTTGTCCAAGGTCTGAGATCAATTTGTATCGGCATGTTTCTTACTGGTTCTTGGTGCTCATTTTCTCACATATAAAATAATAGATTGCATTATTTCTAAGGTCCATTGCATGTCTAAACTTCTGACTTTACTACAATTAAATGCATTTTAAATTTATCAATTTATAACACTATCTGTTGAATAATATTTAAAAATGTATATTCCTTGGATACTTCTGGTATGAAAGAAATCATTATACTTTTACTGTTCATACTTAGGATTCTGTACATTCTATATTGAAAAAATTGGACTACGAGTTTGAGCCTTTTGATATACTATTATCCACTCTAAAAATCTAATTTATTTAGTTATTACCTACTGAAATTAGCATAAAATGATATCTGGAAACCTCCTTTAGGAAGAATTTTCCCCAGCACAACTCTATATAACCTCATTAATTTTCCCCCTGTTTTTGGGTACAAAATCCAGACAAAATAGTTCCACTAATATGGAGGTATGTTTGACACATTAGGTTTTCCACCCCTTTTGTTGTATGTCTGTGCAATTATATGAAATTGGCATAAAGACATTTCATTGATATCAAGGAAACTGTTCTCAAATTGCTTTGGGGATGCAATAAAGCATAACAAAATGTTGCTATACTCTTTAAAAGAATACATGAGCGAATGTGAATTAAAGAGGAATTGATCATAAACAACTCTGATCTCAAGATCTATTTTATATTTTCATCTCATTTTGCAATAATATGGGGTTATACAAGCTGATCAAATGCCAGTGTCTCTAACCAAGCTTTTTTTGGCCATGATAAGTTAACACTTAACTCAGATTTGTAATTTGGCTGTTGTTGGAAACTGAGATGTACAAAGGAGCTGTTACTGAAAATAGAAAATAAGTAAAACAGAGACAATACAGAAAGGAGAGATTTGATAGAAAGTAAAAAGCTTTACTGCAGAAAATGAAAAAAAAAAGAAAATGTGTGTATTTGTGTGTGTGTGTGTTATGTATGTGTGTGTGCTTGTGTGTGCGTGTGTGTATACATATGCAGGCATGTGGGATAATTAGAGAAAGGGAATGCAAATGCATCTATATGGAGCTTGTTTCCTCTTGATGAAATGAGGAAACTATTGCCAAATTATTGTTACCACCTCTTGTTTTCTAGAGTAACACGCAGCTCACCAACTGGAGAGCTAATCTGGTACTTAAAATGAGGGTTTCTTGCTTTCTTTGAAGCAGCATAGCATCTCTGGGTGGTAGTCGATTATACAACAAACAGAGATGCCTTTTCTTTACATGCTGGAAGCAGTCATCCCTGTTGCCAAGGAAACATCTTCAGGAAGCAAGGGTCACCTTTGGAAACAATCGGAAGACTTCAAAACCAGATCAATAGAGAAACACCAAGACCTGAACTTCCTAGCAAATTGGCTCCTGTTTTAAATGTCATTTTCCAATAAACACTTATGTGATTACTATGTACTGGGAAGTAGGAAGGCCAAATTGAATGTGTACTAAGTCTAGTCCAGTGTTTGCAAGCTCTGCTCTTAAAGGCCTGTGGGTTTTGGTAGAGATGCTTTGAAAGGAGGAAAAAGCAGGATTCACATCTTAGATGACGGACTGACGTTCGGATTTGAAAAGAGAAACCGTATATGGGACTTCAAAGAAAGTTTCCACTCATTAAAAAAATACAGATTCTTTATTCATACAAGCACACTTGATTATACTTTGTCTAAATTAGTGAGATTTTTATTTTACTTTCTGAGAATGTTTTGTCATATATTAGGTTTGTGCAGATTTTGTGTTAATAATGTACAATTGTGTTCATTAATTCATTCTTTTATCAAATATTTATGACTTCCTACTATGAGCCAGATACTACTCTGGAGATGAGAAGGGAATAGAACATAGTCCCTACATTTAAGGTCTGGAGGACTCAATCTGAGGAAGACGGTAGCTACAGATACAAACAATGGCATTACTTGTAGAGGAAGCACAGCAGAATGCTTGTAATTCTTCCTGGGGAGGTGAGGAAAGGCTTTTGGGGAGAGAAAATGCTTGATCTTAGCTTTGAAGGATAAATAAACATTGAGCAGAGAGTCCAGGGCTGGAAAGACATTCTAAGACAGAGACAACAGCAAATGCAACGTGCAGAAATGTGAAGAGCAGATTTCATTGGTGTTCCATTGATTGGAGATCAGGATGTATTTGAGAGTGTGTTTGGAGATGAGGTTGGAAAAAGAAAGTGGACCTGGATTATAGAAGTCCTT